GCAACTATCGATTTTTGTCCTCATTATATCACCGATTGTTTCACCTGATCGATCTTGTACACAATCCACCTTGTCGATTTCTTTCAGCATATTGATCTCAAATCTTGATGGTCTTGACTGATGATCTTCGCTTTCCCGATAACATTTATCTTCTGTACCATCTTGATTTACTTCCACGTTGATCGTGCCTTTATCCAATTGCGATGCAATTCTCTCCACCTTTGCGATCTTCTCGTTCTCTCCCTTCCTTGGACACGTCAAAAGTTTAGTCGGCAGTAAATAAGATGGGTGATCAACTAGTGGTCCTGTCGGCTCATCAGCGAATTCTTCCTTCCGATCTGTTGTTGCTTCATAGTCCAGAGTCTGCCACTCATTATATCGACGCGACCCCACCAAAACATATCCAGGTGATCGAGGTATCATATCCGCAGCCATTCACCAATCTATCGGAACTCAGTGATTCACAATCACTTCTTGATCACTAAGATTAGTTAGCTGCAAATATTTAGTCTTTCCTGGTCCTGTTGTGACTGTTGGTATTCATCTCGGGTCTCGTCTCACCCAAAGCTTAGAATTCGGTGCACCAGTACCGATTCGTGATTCTGTCGATCCTCCTATTGGGATCACCGCATATTGATCGTTGATCGTTATCGGCTGTCTGTTCGTTTGGTATGGAGGCCTTCGTCCCGCCAATTGAATTCTAACCTCATCCGGCAAACAAAGTGTTCCATCTGCGAGATCCAAACGAATCCCAGCTGGGACCATAAAATCCATACCCAAGATCGCTCCTTGACCAACTTGATCGCCCACCCAGGCATCAAAATAATAGACTATTGGTCCACTTAATGTCATTTTTATCTTGTCTCGTCCTTCCGTCATATAGGTATTCTCACAGATTTCCACACATTCTTGCCTCTGGCTTTCGTCAATGACACATCCTACCTTACGAGCGAAGGTGGTGTCGACGATTGGAGACTTCGGCTCCAGAATCAAATAGCATAGTAGCCTTCTCATTGTTGATTCGTTCTACTGCCTTAGCTTGGTTAAACAAGTTTCCTGGGGTGTGATATTTCCAATATACCCGTGATTCGCCTGGCGCTAGGTCGAGCTCCATCTTAGCAGGCGATCGGGAAAATTCATCAATTTTCGCGACACTTGAAATATAACGCAAATGATTTGAATCCTTACATGTATTGATCGGATCGATCCGCTTGTTACTTCTTGATCCGTAGATCCCTTTTCAACAAATGCATAAATGCAGAGCCTAGAACGCTCAGCTCGTACCAGATTCCAACCTGGCGAGCGTCCTAGTTTAACATCTCTTCTGCCTTCGGCGGGAGCATCCCAGCGTGTTTGATCGGCACGTACCATTGGCGAATTAGATTATAAAATTCTTCCATCGGGCATTTTCCTCCTTCGTGCATCTCTCCACAGGCAGTACACACGAAAAAACACTTGTCTGAAGGATTTCCTTTGCGCCCACATTTCTGACAGGTCAACCGCTTCCAACATCCACGATCGTCATGTTTCTTTGATCCGCAATGGGTGCAGGCTCTTGGTGGGTCAATGTGACCATGACCTTTGCCTTGATCGATCACATTGTCGATCACATTCTGTCGATCACGATTGTCGATCACGAATGTCACTCTCATTCTGTCGATCACGATAATCTCTCGGCTTTTCAGCTGGGACATGCGTCATCGCGGAATAAACGCGGCGTCGATCCACTTCTACTTCAGATCCACTCGATTCCGACTCTATCCACTGTTACCGTTTTTGATATGGATCGCTCTCACTGCGCGAGCCGGTTCCGATGACGCCTGATCGGGTACAGGGGCGGCTCGTTGACGAAAAATTAGTGGGACCATCGATGCCTTGCCTTGAAGAATCTCCATACGTTGATACGCACGTAAAGTTTCTTCCATGCCATCAGCATCGTTCAAACGTAATAAAGTCAACTGTTTCGCCAGATCGCGATCATCCAGTGTCTCAATAAAATGTTCCACATGTTCACGTCTGGTAGCTGGCGTTCCTTCTCGAATTGAAATTTTTGCTCTGATCACTGCCACATTTAGCCAATACAGATACTACATGGAGTTTCATTCGATTGTTTCTTGCATGATAATATGGTCTTCCAACAGATACACCATACCCTCCATATTGTATCATGAAAATTTCCAATAGAGATTTCCAGTGATGACGAGTCGATCGGCCAAGCTGGCCATACCAGTTTCTTGCTGTTCCCTTCAGCAGATCTCCAAATACGAGACATTTTTCGTTTTCAGGAGCTTGATCACGTAAGAAAGCAGATTTGACTTTGCTGATCCAGCTTCTAGCTCGATCTTCGTCTCTGTCTCGCCCAGTGAACTTTTTTAAATCTGCGGACGCCGATACACGAATTCGTTGTGTAGTGAATCCACCACTTGGCATAGCTTCTGCAGCTTCCACCAACGGTCGCCTTAGATCCTCGAGTCCTAGATCCAGCGGATCGCCAATATTGGATCGACTATGACGCGATCCGACTGACTCCATCTCCACGTCTGGAATATTCATCATTTGAGGAGTGGCGTTGATCCTTGATCGATTAGCATTTGTAGAGCTAAAATCCGTTGCTCGTCTTCGTACTTCTTCATGGCTGCTTTATAATAGGAATCCAGCTCGTTTGATCCAAATGGATTAATTTCTCGGACCATGGGTACATCGGTCGATTTCGCTTCAGTTTCAACTGGCGTCGTTCTTTCGCGTATAAACGCCGCACCAGGCGGTCCCAACGACATCCGTTGAATGGGAACTGATTCTTCTGAATACACCTCCGATTCTGCCGATGCATACTGTGATGAACCCGTTTGATATGTCTCCGTGGCTGGCTACGATCGTTTGGTACTTCCCATTAAGAGAGGTTAACGCCTCGAACAACGATCGTCCTGCCTTAATCACTTGATCGTGATCACAATCCAGCAGTGTCTGCGCATCAAACGCTCCAGAAGTGAATTCTGCCTCCTTGAGCAGCTTCAACAAACGACGAATCGCTTCCAACTGATTCGGTGTTTCTACCGGAGCTGATACTGGTCCTTGCAGTGATCCGATTAGCTTTGGCTTTATAATTTTAAAAGACTGGATCGATCGATAGCGAAGTCTTCTGCTCTTTCTGGTGAAAACACCGTTCCACTTCTTCCATGTTCGCCGGTCTTCCGGTTTTCGATCCGTGATCGGCCGACTCTTTTCCTTGGACAACACAATCTTCCGATTTCTTCGTCCGAACGTCGAGTTGTGATCGTGGTGCCTTCATCCTCACCTGTAAATTCTTGGATAAAATTTCTTAGTTTGAACTGAAAGATTTTCATCTCGCGAATCTCGCTTGCAACGTGATCCGCAGGGGTCCCCGAAGGGACCTGGGGAAGGGGTAAAGGGTTTTCTTCCAGATCCATTTCGTTCTTTTCCCTTTTTGCTCTTCTTCTCGTCTGCGCTCCTCCCAAAACGCTTACGATTTGGGATCCTTTTCTTTCATGCGTCTGCGACAATCCCTTTGCCTCTGACGCTTCAATCCCAGATCCAGTCTTAACTGTTCCATCTTCTCTTAAAGACTCACGGTGAAATCCCAAGTCACCAGAAGATCCGGGCACGCGCACCATTGTGGTGGAGCGGGGTTCACAATTTTTTTGATGCGATCCCAACTCTCCACTGGCGCCCGGACAACCGAATATCGGAGGGGGTACTTCGTTTCCGTGCAACTTTCCTTCCCCACCTTGTGTACCCGTCGGTAGGGCGGGTATCACTCTTCTCGGTGGACTTGAATCGATGCTGAACTTGAACGTGGTTGGGATTGGTTGGGGGTCGACCGCGCGGAAATCTTTGCGCGGTCGAGGGTTACTTGGGGCACTCTATATGAGTCGCCCTGATCTCTCTTGAGATCGCCTTGTCCAAAAATGTAGATACTTGATCGACTTGATCGACTTGATACACTTGATCTTCTGACCACTTGAGCCGTCTCGCGATCTTGTACCTTGTCCTTTTCTTGTTATGTTGCGTCTAATCGCAGGCGAAGTTTGTTTGTGAGAGGTCTTGTAATCCCTGGCCAAACAATCCAGGGATATTACTTGTAGGTACTAGTGGCAAATGCTCTTGAGTCGTCGGGGAGCCAAAGTTATCCCACCCGGAAGAAAAGCTTGCGTGTCTTAGAAGTAAAATCGAACTCTGTTTAATGTTAACCAATCACATACCAAAACCTACGATTCTGCCTATCTGTAGACTAGGCTCTACTGCCACGTGTTGCCCTTTCGGAAAAATCAGATCTCAATGCGTGGACCACATATGTCGGATCGCAATGACGGATCGCGGTCGACGGATCGCTGTCGGCGGATCGCGGATGACAGATCGTGATGACGGATCGCGGTCGACGGATCGCGGTCGACGGATCGCTATGACGAATCGCGATGACGTATCGCTGTCGACGGATCGCGGTCGATCTACAAGGTGTGGACCACATTTAATATTGGGCGATCCACAATCTAAGAAATATTGCTTCTTCGCTTCTCCACAGACACGTGAAGCTGCTGGTGGGTTTTTCGGGGGCATTGAGCTCAATAACCTGTGAATTAGCCGAGCTTATTAATTAAAAAGTAAATGAGGGGGTAGATGTATTGAAACTTACGATCTTAGCTATATAATGTGTTTGTAACCATCGCTTACTTCCTAATGGGTCCCAAGTGTCGCTCCGCCTTCTTCGAGGATCCCAACCTTTCAAAATCAGCTGGTTCCTTTTAACACGACACGCTTACACCATTTTGCACGTACAAAGAAGCGGTTTAATTCGTCTTCTCCCACGCGCAGCAAGATGTTGTGAGCGACGAAGGCTGTCTTTATTGGCAATTAAAACAGTGCTATTAAAGGAAGTGTGGGCTAGTTCAGGAGCCAATTTGAAGAAGGCGCCAGACTACAAGACATTTGTTCGCTCGATTCCTGAGGAAGCCCGAAATCGCTTTGCAATCGGAGCAAGTACGATGTTCTCTGCACAAGATGCAGTGGAGAACATGTATGAGCCCATGATATATCTTGCAGCACAAATGCATCGCAGTGGACAAAGCAGTGAGATCTACAGTCGTAAATCGACCATGTTGGAGTCTATTACCTATGCTGCTGCCAGGAGCGAGGCTGCTCGATTTGGGGTCGAGGACGTGGAATTCAACTCTCTTATGCTGCGATCATCGCTAGGTCTTGTAAACATGCCTCCCTTCAACGTTCGGCATGTGCCTGGAAGCCGGCTTCATCCTCTTCTGGATCTCAAGTCTCAGTGTTCTCCGATCTTCTCACGCAGCTTCAACATTTTCGGTGCTGGCATGATATTGGTTAAAACATCGGCAAGCATCTCTTTGATTCGACGTACGCAGGTGTGATGATACTTTTCTCGCTCGTGTTCCTGACAGACTTCAGTATGAAATCAACTTACTTGATGTCGCTTCGTTCTCGATTTGTTTATCGTAGCTTAGCTGTAGATGCGCATCTTCATAGGCAATTCCATTTTGATTATAAGCTCTTCAATGAAATATGTATCTCTTTTTTTACACTAGCAGCAGTAAAAAACTTATCATCAGGTGTTTAGAGCGTCGCCGCTCGTTGTTGCCGAGCAACAACCAAAGAGGAATTCCGTTATTCAGAAGCGACGCAGACTTCCTTTTCTACTGCATACTCTGCATCTGTATAAATCGACGCACTTATACTTTTCCCCTCCGATCACCTGACCAGTAAGTCGTTATTTCGAGTAATCCTTTTCCACTAATAATGTTTAACACAACGGAGAAAATTACGTTCAAGGACCTGTGTGTCTCTACCTGAGTTCAAACGCGTCTTGAATTGTTCGATGAATCAATAACCATTTACCTTTGTCTTAAACACTCACTTTGTTTTGAGATAAGTGCAAATCTGCGGCTCGTTTGACCTTTTATAAAGTGTAATTGGCCGTAAAAATTATTTCCGCATCTATAGCGCCCCCTCCAAGCTTCTCCGTTGCCTCACCTCTTCCGGGTGGGATATCTTTGACCCCCCCCCCCCCCCGACGTCATCAGGTGTGAAACGGCTCAAGCTACGCAAGTTGAACCTTAGGATACTTGGCATGAGGTGTCAAGACTCGACGGCCCGCTACAGGAAGCGGTTTTCTTACGGGGAAGAACACAAAAAGGGGTACATAGTACCAGGTGCATTACTATCGACTCAGTTGATCGAGTACAAGAAACCCGGTCCCAAGTGAAGTATATCCACTCGGGGACCACCAAGTCCAAGTCCTATACAAAGACCAAGTATTTAAGTCTTCTGCGTCTAACGAGGAGCAAGACCAGCCAAGCCGACGGGTACACAAGGTGAGACCCAAGGCTAACACGACAAGGTATCGGGGTACCCCCTCCGTAAGTCGGCAGTCCGGCGCTGTGTGTGTTTGTGGTTCTCTCACGTCGTTTGAGAATCCACTCCACCACAGTGTCAAGTAATTGTTAAGACTCAAGTGCGCACTTGTTTCGATCTACCCACCTGATCCGGGAAAGGGATATATTTTGTTCCCCGCCCCGTTAATGACAGTCGTGTGGTAAGATTCAAGCTCGAACGAACCCCAGGAAGTATTTTGGCCTGTGGGTTCGTACCCATTCAAGACCCGCTATAGGAAGCGGTTTCCCTACGGGGAAGAACACAAAGGGGTCCAAGGACCAAGAACAGTCAGCCACCAAAGGGGTACATAGTACCAGGTGCATTGCTCTCGACTCAGTCGATCGAGTCGAAGAAACCCGGTCCCGAGTGAAGTATATCCACTCGGGGACCACCAAGTCCAAGTCTTATACAGAGACCAAGTCTTGAAGTCTTCTGCGTCAATCTAGGAGCAAGACCAGCCAAGCCGATGGGTACTCAAGGTGAGACCCAAGGTTAAAACGACACGGTATCGGGGTAACCCCTCCGTAACTCGGCAGTCCGGCGCTGTGTGTGTTTGTGGTTCTCTCACGTCATTTGAGAATCCACTCCACCACATTTTTAAACCAATGGTCAATCAGATGCTTGGATAGCATCCACGGTTTCCGATAAGGAGTATGGCGCAATACTTTGCGATCGAGAGACTCCTGCGTGGTGTCAGCAGAAGTACCGACACCATGTACAGTAATGTCAACAGAAGTATCGACAACACATACAGTAATGTCAGTAGAAAAAGTAACACTACTTACAGTGATGTCAGTAGAAGTGCTGACACCTCTAACAACACCCCCAGTCGAGTTAGATCTACTCGAATCGATTGGCGAGTCGTCTGAATCATCAGACGACCGAAACATTTCACGATACATGTTTCACTCATGTACTACGGTCCCTTATGTTAGGGTCCGAAGATGAGGCAGCATCCCAGGGCGAGGCCGGGAGTGAAACAGATGGTTTTGAGTCGGATGCATCATACGACTCACCAGATTAGTCAACGAGTAGTTCTAGGTTAACATCTTCACATGGCACTTCGCCACGTGAACCTGCAACATACGTTGCAGGCTGATGTTGACTTGCAACAGACATATTAGTGTCTAATGGTTGAGACTATAGTATCTCAATAACGGTTGCACATAGGCGAGAAGCCGAGTTCTTGGCTGCCTTGGCGCGCATTGACTTAGTCGTTGCGTTGCTGTTGCTGGAATAAATGAAAACCAACAAGTGTTCCCTTCCCACAGTCACTAATGTGACTATAGGTTGAGGGGTGATGTAACGGGGTGAGTCCGTTACATAGTATTGACACTTATATGAAGTGTCAATAAAAATATAGTTATAACTAATTATATTTGACAATATTACTTTTTCCTCTAATATTGTCCCTGCATCGCCTTGAAGTTGAAGATGCCCTTTAGCTGGTTTATATAGGCCATTATATCAACCAGGGCGATGACCAATACCCGATGGACGCGCGCAATGAGTGCAGGGAAAGTTGTCAACATACATAGTTTATAACGGGGTTACACGACGGTTGTAGCGTCTTTCCGAGAGTTTACGGTTAAACTCCCCTTTGTATTGCATATAATGCATTATGATACTTCTCTTTAGAGAAGTATTAAGTATGAGTGTTAAAATACGGTATTCGGTAATACAGTATCTTATCGATTGGGATTCGATAAATCACTAACGCTGCATTAAGTACATCATACACAGATGTTTAGACGATACGTCGTCCAATAGCAAAGTCTGCATATAATAATTACTATTATAGTAATTAATCTAGTGTAGTGTACTTAGAGTAGGACTATTCATAAAATCTTAATGCATAAATAAAATCAGTTCTCCTTTTAAGTTTAAGATCGCAAGTCGTTCTGACTTGCTCTCTTGTGCACTTCGTGCGTTGGTTCTCTGAACCTCTAAGCTTCTAGCTTGTTCTTGCACTCTGTGCGTTGGTTCTCTGAACCTTAAGCTTATTGCTTGCTGACTAAAAGTCTCTCCTACTTCCTTAGAAGAGGGTGACTTTAAAGTCGTTTAATTAGTTCCTTAGAACTAAGTGGCTTTTAGCCTTAACTCTATTTAGTTCTCTAAAACTAAGAGGCTTCCAGCCTAAAGTCTTCCTCTGGCTAAAGAGCTGTGCAGCTCCGCTACATAGTTGTAGTTTAATATTGTTAAGACAAGGTTAAATCAGATTCTCACATCTATTAGATAGCTTAACGATATTGAATACAGTATTCTGTTTCTTCTCAACTAAGCGTTTGTGTAGTTGATTAGCTTACTCTGTTTACGTGTACGTGAAGTTCTGAGGCACCTGCTTTCACTGTAGTCAGTGAAGGTAGATTATAATCTAAGGGTATAGTCGGAGGGTGCTCCATTACAATGTACTTGTCAGATGGCACTCGTCTTTTTCGTATGGTATTCCCACACTGCAACCGTATCGCCTGTCCCAACTGTCAAGTGTTGCTTGGCTGTACCCGTCCAGGTGCATCAGCGGTCGATCGGGACTGATCGGTGTGGTGCCCGGCGCTTGTTGCGATCATTGAGCCACTGTTTACACCTCGGGCTGGATACCCGATTCCACGTGCCCTTTTCGGAGTGTCCCCCGTGACGCCCGACGTCTCGAGCCAGCAGATTGAGCCAGCGAGGCGAAGAATGACGAAGTCCTGGTAGAAGCACTCCAGACATCTTACCAATCCTTAATGTTTGAAATAAACGGTCTGTTCTTCTGTGTTGCTTGGCTGTATCATCTGTCAAGCTGTTGTCCTGTCTCTTCCTGTCCCATCTCCACGATCCTCTTTTCGTGTCCCACAATGTCAAGTCAGACAGCCGGTCAAACAGGTGACACCATCCCACGGTATAGCACTTGAACCTTGAAACCTTGAGAGCCTGTCACACACATGGTTTCTAACAGGGGCTTCCCATCCTCACTGACATGCCCGAGAACGGGTCATGGGAAGGACCGCAGCGTAAGCTAATACTTTGCAGTCTGCATGACACGTTTCCTAGATCAATACGCTGCTGTGTGCGCCAAGGTACTCGCACCATCAAAGGAAAGGACCTTGAATGGAGGCCGTAGTCACGATGAAATTCAGCAGGAGTGTACCTAGTAGGTATAACAACAAACTTATGTAGTAGCAAAGAGTGATTTCCCTCCTACTCGACTCTATAAAACTATATCTTGTATGAGCACTCCCCAAGTTGGGCTCTAAAGCATCAACGGCCAAGGCTGGCCCGTCTGGGACAGACGGCTTAGTACCCGGCCTCACTTTTTAGGCGCCACCTGCCCCCTGCATGTGCTCGAATTTTCGGTCAAACGGTTCTACGTGCTTTTATGAAGTATCTCCCGTTAAGCCCGTCGGCTTGAGCCAACAGAACGAGCTAGTGCATAGGAGAACGGCGTAGTCATGGCAGAAGATCAGAAAATTCTCATAGACATATCTTAAACAAGCATAAGGATTCAAAAGACAGTCTGATCTTCTTATCTTGTTCTATCGGTATGGTAGACGACACAATTCAACAAGAATGTTAATCTCGAATGTGATGAGCCGCTTTTGCTCAGTGGAAACATACACCATTTATAACAGAGTCGATCCATGCACGAGCAATCGATACACGCGAGTATATACTGGGGTAGCCAGGCTTGTCACAGTCGTCACCCCAGGTCACCAAGCCAACGATCACGTCACCGCTCGAACGCTCCACAACCACTGGTCCACTGTATTCACCTGAGCACGATGTTTGGCTGGCAGCTCCACGTGAACACAACAAGGATTCGGTCACCTTTGTTTCTTTGGCGCAATTTGAATTGCTCATCAGCTGGACGTTAGAACGGAATAACTCGTAGCCCATCTGACTTAAGCCTTCATCGTCATCCCAGCCCATTGTGACAGCCCATTCGCCGTCCGTAACATCGGAATCGTCTGATTTAGCTAATGCCACAGGTGTAAACTTGCTGGGTTTCTTTAGCACAAGAACAGCAAAGTCGTACGTGAAGCCGCGTCTTAAGCTCTTTGGATGGGTGAGAATCGCCACGACCTTGATCTGTTCACCATCTTGGGTTCCATTTACATAATGCGAACCAATCGAGGCCCAACGTATATCCTCGAGTGTACAGGACGTCCCAGCGAGAAGATGAATTGGACTAATGAGTGACGCACTGCAGAAGTTAGTACCATCAACTGTAGTGCGAAGTCCAGCAACGTATGTCTTCATCCCGATGGGAACGATGCCTGTTTTCTCGAGAGGGGTACGGATATCGTTGCTTGAGGTACTTTTTGGTAAAACGTTCTTAACTTGAACAACGCGATTGTTGGATGTTTCGTCCAGCAAGGTCGGAATAGTATCGCTAGACAAATTGTCTCCTTGCACAAAGTGCTGGTATGAATCAGCTCGAAAAGTAGAAGGAAAAGCTAATACGCTTATGAAGGTGGTAACAAGCTTCATACTAATAGTCGGTCAGGAGTTGATATCAACGAAAACGGAGAATGGCAGAGCTTGTAAATTGTAGAACTTACCCAATCCTAAACTCAAGGCTGTTGATTTGCAGAGACGAGGAATAGGGAGCTGCACATGGATGGTGGAATCCTAAACGAAGCAAAAAGGAGCATTAAACTGCATGTATACCGAATGCATTCAAATACTGTCAAAAGTTGAGACAAATCGTGATTTAAAGTGTGTCCATGCGTTTTCCCTAGATTAAGCATTGGTTTATAGTAGTAGACAGTGGCTTAACTGACCCAACGTGAACTTGAGCTCAGCAGCACATTGCAATAGAGATGTCAGTGATATCATTTCACTGATATGGATGTCGACTATCGATTTGATGAATCGCTTTACATATCAACTCGTTGGCGTAAACTGGAAAATGATGTTCTCCGGTCAGTGCAGTCAAGAAACGATATAATCGTTTTTAGCTCCGAGAGACGTTCGTTAATTGTACGTCAGGCGGAGAGCATATGAATGCTGTTGGACGAATTGCCAGTAAGAATTGGGCTCGAGAAGAACGCACAGCTTGCTAAAAAAGATTAGGTATTGATAATATAGAGGATCGATGACTTGGTTTTGTAACATGAGTTATACCATGCGGCAGGTACTTGAACAGAGCGATACGAAACAGTTTGAATTCAGCGGTCAACATATCAAAACGAACTTGTACCGAATGAACCTACGAGGGGTTTTCGTTACCTCTCTTTTTGCTCTCGCGTCCTCATTTTGTGTGACAACGAACGGGGAATATGCTCAACGGCAACTAATTCTAGGCGGACAAGTCGTCCCCAGCGGCACCAAGACGTATATCACCAGTCTTCGGGCAACTCCTGATGGTGATACTATCTGTGGTGGCTCTCTCATTTCTCCTACGCATGTGCTGTGCGCGTCACACTGCGTACCTTACGATATACGTTGGGTCTCTATTGGTACGCACTATCGAAACGGTACTCAAGACGGTGAACAGATTAGAGTTGTGGCCGCCATGAGCCATCCAAATTACTCGGAGAACGTCTTGTACGCGGATGATTTTTCGGTGTTCGAGCTAGAGAGACCCAGCAAATACAAGCCGATTAAGATGGCTGCTCCTGACGACTCTGACTTCAAAGCAGGCAAGTGGGCTGTTACGATGGGATGGGGAGTGGATGCGGAGGTGAATGGCACTTACCCCTATGAGCTGCAGCGGGTAAACATTCAGCTATTAAGCGATAAGATGTGTGCTTCTGTTGTCAACATTGATTCCAGTATGGTGTGCGCCGGAGGTGTGTTGGGTCAAGACTCTTGCTTTGCCGATTCAGGAGGCCCAATGATTCTTGAAGGCTCTAGCAGCGATAGTCTGACGGAGGATGTGCTGATCGGTATCGTGAGTTGGAGCAAAGACGACACTTGTGGAAGAGAAGGCTATCCTGGTGTATACTCTCGTGTGTCGAATGCTCGGGCGTGGATCCATTCGATCACGGGTGGCAATGGTACTTGTCTTGTTTAGTTGGAGTGTATCTAATCTAATTTGAAGACAGCACATGATTTGATAAAGTAGGACTTGCATGTGGGCTTGTAGTTGCAAAGGGTACAGTGGCTTCGAGAACCGTGCCAGCATCACAATCACAATTACTAACTTCATTGCGTTACTGAATTTATTCTACTACGTATATCCGGGGTCTGTCCGATAGAGCTAGGATTTAAAGTCAAGTGAGGGAAATTGCAGCACGTATGAGCCGTATAAAAGATTACACGATCACCTTGAACCTGTTTACAGCAATATACTTATGGTTGGCAAGTACATTATTTAGATACTAAGTGCATTATGACTTCACTACGCCATCATTTTTTACTTTATTTCTTCATTAAACAACAGTCTTTTGATACATCAAGAATAGAACTTCAATTTAGAAGTAACATACGCGAACTAGCTTTGACGTGCATTTATATTGTGGTTGTCTCTATTGTGAGTGCATGGTCGCTAGATTCTGCTCGTGAATATTGTACTAATGTAAGAAAGTCCTTTGAGTAATTCTTTGACCTACATTACAAAATTCGAAATGCCGAACTACATGTACAGCTCCTCTCTCTGGCTGGTTTTGCAATATGAGCAAGGTTTGCGAGATGATGAATGCAACAAGATTGCGCTAGTGGCGCTTAGAGAGGTCGTGCCTCTCGAAACAAAAGAAATTAACAATCCTCATTGTCTAATCGCCTACACGATAGCACAATACAATGTACGGTCCAAACAAAGCTAACAATGTGCTACCCAGTGAACCCGAAAGCAAGTAATTGCAATCTGGTTGGCCACAGAAAGCGCATCTGTATTCAATCACCCACTCAGCAATGTGTGATCACGATCCAGAAGCATGTAGTGGCTTCCACCATTCAGCTAAAAGACGGTGACAATTCGCCAGTCCACATCGTCTGGCTGCGTCACAAGTGACTCAAACCTCCAAATAACTGATGACTTTTTCTCCAGCTGTTTTTGGTCGGCAGATTCAGCCGTTGCGACCTCCAAGTGCTCGACAGTATCCAGCAGTACATCCAACCGTAATCGTTCAACCATCGTCGCGTGATCCTCAGGAATAATATCCGGCGTCAAACTTTCCACCGTCATCTTCTCCCCGTCAACTGCATCTGTCTTCCCTTTTTCCACCTCTCTCTCCTCCTGGTGTTGCTCCAACCCGGCCACCTGTGCTCGGTTATACACTTCCAGCGCTTCCTCTTGCTTCATCGCCGCCAACGACATTCTATCCCAATTCACGTCGTAGAGATAGACACCATTGATGTCCAAGTGCCTAAGCGTAAATCTGTTGCCCGTCTTGCTCGTCTGCTTCATGGCAAATAGAAACGCTTCGTAACAAGCTACTGACAGTCCGGACTTCATCTTTTCCGCTGCAGGGGACACAGAAGTGGTCCCCGTGGCGAAGTCGACGAACTCCCTCGAGTACATGGTGTGGACAGCCAAGTCACAGGCAAAACGAGCGCCGTTCAAAAAGTCAACAGCGTCGATTTCCGTGTTTGTGGGAAGCTGCAGCTTCGTGAACAGCAGATAGTTCTGTAGCATCCAATTAGAGGGCGGGAAGACGCTGTGGTAGACATATCGAGCCATTTGTGTATTGGCACGCTCTCTGGCACGATTGCCAAATTGCAAAATTCCTTCAGTGCCATCAAAGACCGACAGTTTTGCTTTGGAGGACGAGGACGAAAAGTGCTACGAGTAGAGCATGGATACACATTCGGTAAAAACAAAGTTATGACTCTTCCGTGTGAGATTAGATCGAGAAAGTGGAATGACACAGAATGCGCGTACTTGAAATGAAGATGAGAGAAACGGAATCAAGCAGGAAGTTGTCCTACGAAGACCCAGCGGTGAGTACACGTGACGTGTTAGATTCTGCATTTTGACTTGTGGTTGTGAGTCGATACTACAACTTGATTGGTTGGAAAAGAGAGCTGATGGTATACAAAATACTATACATGTTACAGGTAGGTTGGTATACTTGGAGTCGGTCGATCTACTGGTTGAAGCACAGCACCCCACGGCCTAGATCTCCTGTAAATACTATCTCGCCAATAACTCGCATGGTGAATTGGCAAGATATGTCGGTTGGTAGCACAAGTTTATATCGTTTAGTAGACTCAACGGCGTCGATGTCCTCGATTACGGCAACTTCAAGTATATGTAGAATACCAACTGTACTTTACAACTTTTGCTCCGCCTGTACTTGCCCCTGCAAGCACAGGCTTTGCTTCGGCTCCGGTAAGTGATTCACCATAGGCCTTTATGCAGAGGGACCTTATTGCAACGTTAGAGCAGACGCCAAGATCACTATCAACACTCTTGCCCTCCTCGAGATTTACCGAGAACCCGCCGTCTCTTTTAACCGATTCCATGCTGGAGTGAGGTGTTTCTTCATCACTAACCCCTTATGTGGAACAAGGGATAAGTGGTTAAGAGACGCCTGCGCGTTGGCTCGCGCAGGCTTTAGGGCTACGTGATAAGATTTGAGGCTCGTATTGTTGCACTTGGAAACGTTTCTGAAGTTGAATTCTAAGAGACTCTCTCTCCAGCCATCTTACCACTGGAGGCGGAACTAAAATACAAGTGTATGTTGTAGATATCAACATGGCATTAGGAATGTCGCGTACTTCTAACCAGATCTGCAACTGCTTTTTATAAGGATAAAACTCCGCGACTGCTCACGTAGAAGCTCATTCTTAGTCTGATTTATGGACTCAGCAGCAGCGTAAGTAACGGGGTGAGTCCGTTACATAATATTGACACTTATATGAAGTGTCAATAAGAATATTATTATAACTAGTACTATTCGACAATATTATCTTTTCTTGTAATGTTATTCTTGCATCTGAGATGCCTATCTTCTGGCTAATTTAGGCCATTATAAGAACCAACGCGCTGACCAATGACTGATAGACGCGTGCATGAGTGGAAGGCAAGTTGTCGACGTACAAATTTTAAGTTGATTACTTTTAGGACAAGATTATGACAGATTAGTTTTTATTAGATGGTTCTACTATATTAAATACAGTTCTCTTTATCCTTACGACTGAGTTCATCACTTAGTCGTATAGCTACCTCTGCCTTCGTCCGTGTACGCGATGTTTCGAGGCACCTGGATACACTAGGTAGCTATGCTGTTATCAGTATAGTCGGAGAGTGCCCCGTTACAGCTTGGCTATTTGTCTAACGGGCTAAGTAACCGTTACCGTCTTACACTAAAGGGCGTTGAGGAAGCGCTCTTAATTAACTCTTAAATATAACTTTGTTTTATTTTTTGTTTTAGTTCTAATTCGCAGTAAGTGCGAATATGATCCCTAGCTCATGGGAACCACTCAATATGGAAGTCGACTTATTATTGGCTAATTATTGGGTCTGGCACCCCAATAATAAACCAATAATAAAATGACGCGCAGTATCCGCTAATCGGATACTGCCCTATGCCTACTTGTGTAATTATGTATTAATCCTATAACTACTCATGTAATAGGTTACCCCATTACATCACCCCCCTCTTTAAGTTGCGCTTACCTCAACGTAAGCGCGAATCGCAGAAAGTTTCTTCTCGACCAACGGCGTAACTCCGAACCTGTTCAGTTAGACTTAACTGAGCAGCATGGACCCTAGGCGTCCACGAGACAATGTCTCTGACAACCAGAACTGGGAACACCAAGCGACAATCCGTAGAGAGCAGGCGCCGCAGGTCATGGATGGGGACTTGAAACCGTGGCGCTTGTATGGTCTTGAAGGTGCTGTCGAACCCGAGCCACTGGAGGTCATGAAGGACCTTTTCACGCGATACCGTACAGTGAGAGGCAAAGCGACGAACAACGCATATACCGACGATGCGTTGCAGAGGTCTTGGTGTGCCTCCATCAGGCGCTGGAGCGCGAGCCTACGTGAAGGAACGTCCTTCACGTCCTGGCTCGACGGTCGCGAGGGAACGCGTGATAGACACGCTATTGGCGACCTGCGCCGGCGCATCTGTCGTATGACTTGTGACGAGTATCACCTTTGTTACGTCCACATCCGTGAGGGATGTCCAACGTGCAACGTGGGCAGATCGCGACCGGTCCGGCAGGAATGGGACGACTTGGTGTGTGCGCGAGGCATGCCCGATCATATTCGTCCATGGATTGCCCGTTATGAGAGAAGCCTTTCGGAGCTCCAGGTGTCCGATGTAATGGGCTACATTACACACATAGTATTAATATGAATAAACAATTACATATGTAGGCAGGTGCTGGGCCCGAATAGCGGGCACAGCGTGGTAATTTATTATTGGGGCCTAAAGTCCCAAAATGGACCAATGATAAATCAACCTGAAATTGTGTGGTTCCCGAAAGGCGGGAACACTGTCGTATTTATTACGACTAAAATCTTCGTAATTAGTACGAATTAAAACCAAAATAAAATCAGAGTTAAATTTACTTGATACCTAATACTTGGGCTTAAATCTTCCTCAAGCGCGCGTGTAAGCTAGTGACGGTACGTTCTAGACCCGTTACACCTGGTAGAACTTTGTAGTCCTTCCTATGCCCGAGTTTGGGATGAGCGAATCGTCGTACTTTGACGCTCCAGATTTATTTCTGGAGCACGCGACCTTCCCCCATCTTACTGGTGTTGAGTGGGATGCCCTTAATCGCCTCGCGGCGATATCGGGAGAGGCATTCGTCGCGTCGCTGATGATCAGCGACCCCTGACGCCCAACGTCTCGCCATACATGAGTTTATGGCACGCGAGCTCGCTGAATCCAACCGGCGAGGCTTAACTCCCTCGCGAACTTCACGTAATGAGGCCGTGAAGATGGAAACCTCCTCCTACTCTGGAGAAGGTAAGGACCGGTTGTCGCTGAATCGGTGGTTCCGAGAAGTTGATATCGCCATCGCCTCGAGACTTCTTGAGGCACCAGCGAAGGTCAACTTTCTTCTTTCCCGCCTCACCGGGAAGGCCAAGGAGTGGGCTCTTGGTAAACTCGTTGTGGACGAGCACGCATTCTACACCTTGGATACCATCCAGGACGATCTTCGTCTTGCTTTCGAGCCACCGCAAGAGGAGAAACTGGTGCGATCAAGATTCCTGTCGATACGACAGGGTAAAATGGCGATGCGCGACTACGTGCAGATGGCTAGGCATCTGGCGTCGTGTATTATCATGCACCCCATGGTCATGTACACGCAGGTGAATGTCTTTGTGAATGGTATGCGTGAGGGGCAGACCCGCTTATCGCTGGAGCGCGCCGAGCCTGCCACATTGGAGGAGGCATTTGCCATCGCACTCCGTGAAGACTTTAGGGTCGCAAAGGCATATGCCAAACCCTCGGTCGTCACCGTTCCCCGGGCTTCTGGTCCAGAACCTATGGAGATCGACGTGATTGAGTCGTCGGGTGACCGACGACGTGTCATTCATCATAAGGGTGACGCTCGCACCGGGCGTCAAATGGTTTGCTTTCGTTGTCGCAAGCCAGAACATCGCGCGGCAGAGTGCCTTGCGCCAGCAATATGGTGCAAGTAGTGGACGCCCATCATGAGGGTGCTGTACCGGCCGCACGTCTAAAAAACGGTCGGGAACAGTAGGTGCAGGGCGCCCTTCTGGTTGGAACGGAGGTCCGGGTCCCCCGGTGGCAGCCCAACCTTCCAGTCCTCCTGCGATACGCGCACGGTTAAATACCACCACTACGAGTGGTGATTCACGTCTAATTATTGTCAGTTTACATGTCGCCGGCGTCCGGCGACCTCTGCGAGCACTCCTGGACTCAGGAGCAACAAATAATTTCTTTCGTGAATCTTGTTTATCGATGCTGCCACCCAGCATCCAGGTCCGTGAGGGACCTGGCCAAGTCGTCATCAAGTTAGCTGACGGGAAACCACACCGCGTATCGCGGCGCGAAGTGTCGTTGCCGTACACGTTTGATGGTTTTCGCAGTAATGATGATTTCTTGGTGATCGCAATGAATTATGCATTCGATTGCATACTGGGCATGCCATGGTTGGCACGTTATAAGCCCCAGATCGACTGGTTAGCCAGATCAGTGAGACGTCGACGCAAGTTCGATGTCAGTGAAGTGTTTACCCATCTCTTGGAATCTCCAAGTGACTGGCCGAACGTCACAGTCGTGGATCGTGATTCCACGACGTTGGCGGTGCACAGAGCGAGCGATGGTCCTCTCTGCACTTCTTCTGCTGTTCTTCGAGACACAAGTGACAGTGACTTCTCGCTACAGAGCGAAGAGGACGACGAGGACGACGCGGTCAAACAGGGGTTCCCGCACGTCATTAATGCGGTTGAACAGGGGTTCCCGCACGTGAATGCAGTGGTTGAACCGGGGTTCCCATCTGCACCTATTGTGGTCGAGCAGGGGCTCCCACAAGGGCATTGTGACGACGAGCAAGAGCTCGCCAGCGAGTGCGACGTGGACGGACAGTAGTCCCCACGCGAGAGCATGATGGTCGAACCGGGGTTCCCATCATCACCCACTGTGGTCGAACCGAGGTTCCCACATGGGCATATTGTGGTCGAGCAGGGCCTCCCACACGAGTACAACGTGGACGGACAGGAGTCCCCACGCGAGAGCATAATGGTCGAACCGG